TAAAGCTGTAAATGAAGCCTTGAAATGTAAGCAGGGAATTGGCCTACCTGCTCTGGGGTTCAGTTTTTCCTTCAGACATTTGCTGTAGTACACCCATCCACCTTACTCCCTGACGATGGTGATTTTTGACCGTACAACATCTTTATTTGCTAGTTTGCAATGTAGGAGACATTATATACAGTATTTCCAAACACACCTACTGTAGCCTTCTCATTGTCTCTTGCATCAAGAAAGTGTCAGTATTAAGGATTCACAGCCACCAATCAGATTCAAATCAGCATTGGAAGTTATATGTGATTAGTGGTGTAGCAAGCAGAGAGACACAGGAAGCAGACACACCCACCACACATGTTATGTACTCTTTGAGATATAGTTGCAGTGGATTAAAGAACACTTAGATTTAGATAAATTGAGTAGACTTAAAGTGTATATATTGCCATAGTTGCCAGTAGCATATTTTAGTTGTGTATAGAGTAGGGAATTATTGAAATCTGGTCATTGACCAAATAAAGCTAAGTGACCATACAGGTGAAACTCGAATAATTAGAATATCGCGCAAAATTAATTGCAGTAAGTGCTGCAAAAGGGGCCCAAACCAAGTACTGAGTACATATGCATGCTTGTACTTTTCAGAGGTCCGATATTGTTCTATGTACAATCCTTGTTTTATTGATTGCATGTAATAATCTACTTTTTTGAGGTTGTGGATTTGGGGTTCTTGGGGTTTTCATGAGCTGTAAGCCATAATCATCACAATTATGACAAATCACGGCTTGAATTATCTTGCTTTGCATGTAATGAGTCTATCTCATATATTAGTTTCACCTTTTAAGTTGCATTAGTGAAATAAATTAACTTTGCACGATATTCTAATTATTCGAGTTTCACCTGTATAAGGTCAATGATGTCACAGCATCCCACCCCATTGCTGATGTGCAGCTGCAGATGGGAATGCCCCAGCCGCAGGTGATAGGGCAACAGTGGAAGGAATTTTCTTACAGGCTCGGAAGAGATCAGGTTTGGATCCAGTCTGAACCTGAGCTCATCCCTTCTTAAGATGTATATTTAGTTAATTTATGTTTAATATTGTAGTAGTGTTATGTGTATATATAATATTTCAGGGAGAAGGGCACCTGACTGCAGAAGATGTGCATCCTATGTCTTGCACATTAAAAAGGCTTGCAGCATTTCACAAGTAAGTCATCAATGTGATAAGCAGATGTAATCTTAAAATGCACAACATCCCTTTAAACCTTCTGCTACAGTATCTAATTAATAAAGTAGTGTGAATTTTTTAGAGTTTCATAAAAGGAGATGTGGTAGAAAGGACATACTTTATGACTGTTATCATATAAGTAATGTTAATGTAGTATATGCACCATAAAAAGGGAAAGGCCGGAAAATCACATTCTACTTACTGCTGTATACTGCATTGTTAGGACAGCTGTGCTGTAAAACACTTGCGTTCTTTTTATCTGGAGTGTTTTTGAAAGATTACACAGAGCCTTTGGATACACAGACGCTAAAAATAGTTTTTGGCATAAAAGTAATGTTTTGTCTCTTACCTACAGTGCTCATAATCTTAGTCAGTGGGGTCTATTTCAGAAGACATTTAAGTTATTTGAATTTGATATGGAGCAACAAAGATTACCAGTACAGGTAAAATGCTTAGATATTCATCTGAATTGAAATGTCATATTGTAAAAGTTTTTTGACAAAAGTGTCACTTCAGTTTTAGAAAAATGTTTGTCAAAACTGTAATTTTTTTAATTAGGGTTTTCCAAAAACTGGTTGTTAAAACTGCCGCTTTTTAAGTCAAGAATTTCAAACCTCATGATAACAATGTAGTGTGGATAATAAATAATAAGCTGAAATCACAGATCGATTATATTTGAGTAACTACAACTTACATTACAAGCCATAAAAGATCTACTGAAAACAGAAACCAGTCACATCTGTATAACCACCTTTCTCCATATTGTTTTTATGTAGCTTTTGCTGCCTGCTTTCCAGTGTATGTATTATGCCCTCCTTTGGCAGCTGGTACTTGTCATAGAAGAGCCACACCATAAGGTACTTTAATTTTTAATTTGCACCATTCATCATGGGTTGCACTTTGTTCTTGGGTGATGTCTGTGTCGGGACAAGGCGAGGATGCCAAAGTCATCTCCCATTCCCCCCCTGCTGGCCCCTGGAGTCTTTTAGTTCAGCGCTGCAAAAACGAACACGTCTAAAATATTCATATAATGATGGTAAAAGAGAATGGAATTAAGGCATCATTAAAATAATTACAATGCACACATCTGAGGATTAAAAAAACGAATTAGGTTTAGCTACAAATTTTATTCTGTGATTTGTCCCTTTTACTAGAATAATATTTATTGTACAAAGCACTTAAAACTTTATAATAATAAAAAAAAGAAATCTCTAAAAAATTCTAAGGAAATTAAGAAGTTTTACTAACTCCTTCAATCCCACCTTCCCTTAGAATTTTTGAAATTAAGGTTCACTAAAGGTTAATGAGGAACTAAAATGTTGTTTTTTAAACAAAGTTTTTTTTTTCTCAATTCATTTACACATAACAGTAATTTATGAATATAAGCTGCAAAAGCAACTTTAATCCATAAATGAATGTAGAGGAGGACCCGAGTTGTCAAACTGACAGTTCAGTCTTGCAGATTACACAGGGAGAACACAGCTCTCCCTGTGTAATCATCAGAGCTCAGTGACAGCTGGACACTGTGCTCTGTTTATCCTGATACAGAGTGTGGGAGTTTGTTGCACTGACAGCAGAGTGGAGTGCCACTGGTTTTACAGGGAGAGCCCCGCTTTCCCAGTGTAGTCTGCAGGAGTGTGCTATCAGTTTAACAGCTCAGTCCTGCACAGCGCAGGAGACAACTGAGTGATGCAGAGGCTACTTTCCCAGCTGTGCCACCCACAGCACGGCGCCCAAGACAGGTTCCTCTTCTGCCTCCAGCTTGGCTCGGCCATGCATAATGTAACATGAAAGCATTATAATTCTTGGAGCACAATTATTACACTGTATTTTATTGACTGCTAGTTTGCAGTAATCCTCCTCTTTTAACTTGCCTGCTTAAATAAAGCATACACAAAGATGGCCGGAGACGTAGCTTCAGGTTGGTAGTTGAGCAGTCATAATGCAGGTGATGTATAGGTCAAGCCCTTTGACTGCTTGCTGGGTGTTTCCCAAGGATGGCTTTACTATAGAAGTAATCTCTGGCCAGTTAATAGCCGATAGGGAGAAGTCCACATCTGAGATATGAGATTATATTATCTCATTTAATAATGGGTTTGGAGAGATTTTGGACTTTTAATAATAAAAGTGCAATAACCCTTTGAGCCTTTCATTCTTTGATATGCCAATATATACTGTATATGTACAGCTATATGTTTTGGTTTTCTAGGAAGCAGCTGATGCACTTAGGACGAAGGTATATGACTTTTGTCAGCTTTGTAGGAAATACGTGAATCACAGAGATCAGTCGGTGAGGGAGCAGGTGAGTGTTACATGCGGTAAAGTAGGGTAACATTCATTTTGTGTTACAGTAATGAGCTAATGTAATTTTTGAACCATGTCATTTACAATATGTATGCATAACTATGAATACATTCTTTTCAGTCATTCCTTTCCTTGTGTGACCTACTTTTGTTGCTAAGTAACAGAAGAGGAGGGATATTTTACCATGTGGATTCAGCAGTGGAGACAGAGCTTCTGTCATTTATCCTTCGACATGTCTTTCAGACTCCCCAAACAGAAAAAGACGAAGGTGATTTTCTTTCCGTAAGCCTTGTGTTGGAAGAAGATATCATAACATCTAGTAACATAGTCAACCTGCGTTTCAAGGGAATGCATTGCTAACTGGCATAATGCCGAAAGAGCCATGTTTCGGCCAATACATAGGCGCCTCCCTGGTTTCTTTCCTCCCCGCTGGGCGCTGCTCTGTGTTCCAGCGGGGAGAAAAGAAAAAAGAACAGCCGGCCGAGTGCTGCAGAACGAGAGCGCTGTGAGCGGCCGGCGTCTCTCCTCCCACACCGCTCAGCCACCTATCACAGTCCGTGGTATAGGTTTCCATTTCAATGCACCTCTAATATTTATACATAAACATCAAAGTTTAAGGAACAGGGCAGAACTGCAAATATTGTATTGCATTATTTTCTGGTACCCAGCAAACTTTTTCCCTCGTTATCCCTTAAAAGAATTCCAATCACTGTTAAAGTTATGTACATATCGAACTGCTAATTAGCTGCATATACATTTGAGTGTTCCTAATATTTCTATTTTTTAACCCCTTAAAAATGGAGGCAATTGTCCAAGTTCTGAACGTAAACAAAACATAGAATTTAGTGCACCCACACTTATTATATATTGCTGTTTAGAGGACAAATTAAATATTTATAAATGAACTGTAATTATATATGACTAAAATCTAACCAATTATGAGAAATTACGAAATTTTCATTTATTCCAAACACACACACACCAGCAATGAAGGGGTTCATTAATTTTTTTGAATAAAGGTTTTTTTAAAAGTATTATTACTTTTGGGACACTTTGTAGCACTGATCTACTTCTCTCGCCTTAGATATGAATCATTGGCTGTTACAAAATATCACTGATC